AAAAAAATCAAAATCTGCATCAAGATTGATTCAAATGGCGTATGAGAACATTATATTAAGCAAAAATAATGAACCAAAACAAATTTATCTAGAGAAAATTAACACACATTTTATAGCAAGTCACATTCTTATTAAGTTACAATTAATAGAAGTCCAAGTAAAAAATAAATGCGAAATCATAATTCATATTTTTAGAGAGTAGGATCTTTTAAAGGTTCAAAAATTAATTAATTAAGGTAGTAAATAAGCGAATATATTTCCTACTTAGAACAAGTAAATATGATTTATTTTATACGGGATAATCAAGACAAAATGCGTTCACAAGAAGTAAACTTGCGTCTAAATTGAAAACTTGCTCCGAGCCATCCAACATTACTACAGTACAATCTACCATTTTGCCAGAAGGTTTAAAATCTAATGCTGAAGCTTGCGAACGTCCAAGATGTGAATGAGAATGCAAAGTGTCCTTGTTCATTTGAACAAGAGGGCTTGAAGATGCTCCAGGCATAGAAGGAGACATGATAGCGCCAGTGCCTAGAGCTGATCCACCAGTGATACTCCCCAAGCGATTGATATTTCCAAGTGTGCCATTTCCATCAATTCTTCGCAAGCTCATATAATATTCTTTTTTAGGAAGAGTGTCAATAACTTCAAATCCTCCATCGGGTAATGGACTCCACTGTGGCTGATCCATCAAAGCCATATTAAATGATTCTGGATTAGTTTCACTATCAGACGGGTAGACTCCAATTTGTGGGGTGAGCACAGGGCAGGCCGAATCGTCCTTTGCAACAATAAATATTGGAAGAAAGAAATAAGATCGACGTATAAAGAATTACAGTTATAACGTATTTTAAAGTGAGAATAAGCTTAAAAATTTGAGAAAACCTGCATTTTTGGATGATCTAAATAGAATAAGATAGAGATACTGTAAGCATTAAAATTAGTAAAGAAAAGACCACAATGTACAAGCTTAAACTCTTTTGAGCAAAAAAAATTAATAGTAATAAAATAGAAATGTTGGCATACACAGACTCTTGACATTGAAATATACACCGGGCAAAATAAAGGAGAACAGAGTGGCGACCAAATAGAGCGAGCGGGACAGAGCAAGAATAAGGAAATCAAAGCTCCCACGTAAATAACATAATCAAACAAACAAATTTTATAAATTAATATATTAAAGCATAATTTAAAAAAATTATATTACGTACTTTTGTTTGTATAGTTTTTTTGTGGGTTATTTAAACCTTCTGCGTATCCTGCTTACTCATGGCGCTTTCTGAATTTGCCAATTTCTTTCCTGTTACTCAAGAGAATAATCATTTGCTTCTATCTGGCTCCGCTCCTGCAAAAATTACTCATCTTGATGAAACAAATCTCTATATGCCTAGATATGCTGGGGATTTCTTGAAGCCAATCGAAAATGGTGTTCAATGCGATAATGTAAAAATACATTTCGCACATGGAACAACAACTCTGGCTTTTAAGTATCAAGGCGGAATTATTGTTGCTGCTGATTCTAGGGCGTCTATGGGTTCTTACATGGGTAATTTTGAACTTATGACAGCGATTTCTTAGCTTCAAGCACCATGAAAAAAATTATTGAGATAAATAAATACCTTTTGGGTACCATTGCCGGAGGCGCAGCTGATTGTCAATTTTGGCAAAAAGTCCTTACCAAGCATTGCGCGTATTATCTTTTAATTCTTTTATTTATTTGTCGATAGCTTGTTTGAGCTCAGAAATAAGGAGAGGATATCGGTTGCTGCTGCATCTAAGCTCCTTGCGAACATGATTTATAACTATAAAGGCATGGGCCTTAGCATGGGGATGATGATTGCTGGTTACGATAAAACGGGTCCTAGTCTATACTATGTCGACGATAGTGGGTCTCGTCTTTCCGGGCCATGCTTTTCGATCGGTTCTGGAAGTACTTATGCATATGGAGTTATGGACAGTGGACATAAGCACGATCTTACAGATGAAGAAGCATATGAGCTCGGTCGTCGATCAATCTATCATGCGACTTATAGAGATGCAGCCTCGGGCGGCTTCGCCAATTGTATGCTTTTATTTATTTTACATCCTTTTAGTGTACCACATGAAAGAAGATGGCTATATATTCATCGGTCAATATGATGTGAAAGATCTTCATTATACTTACAAATCGATTTCTCTGTAGCACATTTTGGCTCAATAAAGTTCTTTCTTAATTCATTTTTTATTGTCTTATTCCTAAAGAGGTTTTAACCAATAAACATCATTTTTAGGTGCGAATACTTTCGCATTCACTTGCACTGTTCCGTGGCGTTTTCGCTTTCATTCAAGGGCCCCGATTGCCAACATTTTCCCTGCGCAGCGTATTTTTATCCCTATTTTACATTTCTCTTTTGTTATTTTTCTGCGAATTTGTATTATACTATGTTGTTCTTCTCCATTGTACATGGCCAAATCTCACTGATTCCAATGGGGATCCTATTATCCCAATTTATTCCACGCACAAACGGCCACTTCGGATAATGATTTTATCAGATACTCATATTTTGGGTTTTCGTTATGGACACTGGTTTGATAAGCTCAGAAGGTGAATAAAATTATCTATAGATGTAATTAAATGGTTCTTTAAAGTTTCCAAGCTTCTTCATCTTTGGTTTTATAATAGGGAATGGCAAATGGAGCGCGCTTTTCATACTGCTATGTTTATTCACAACCCGGATGTCGTATTCATTCTCGGGGATCTGATAGATGAGGGCCAATTCGCCAGTGTCGTCGAGTTCGAGCAATACGCAATGAGGTTCAAACGAATTTTCCTTTCTTATAAACATCCGGTAGTGAAGCTTGTTACTGGAAATCATGATATTGGTTTTCATGATAGGTAAGTTCGACAATGTATCTTGCTTTTTCGTATAACTCATTAATCGAATGGTTTTGGACAGAGATGGTATCCACAAATTTGCCGGTTTCACACAGGAATTAGTGGATATTTGAAACTGTGTCTTGCACCCAGAAGCATTTATTATTCAGGGCACAAGGCATCTTAAGAATCATACTCAAATTGGAGCCATCTCAAACATTCTAAATACAGTGAAAGAGCAGGGAGGAATACTTATTCTCGGCTTGTCGGATACGATCTACATGGCTTTTTAGTGGTAGTGGCAGCTGTGGCAAAAATTAAATTACCTCTCATCTTTTTATAAAAAATATTTTAGAATCACTAAGGCTCGTGATCGCTTATTTCGAAATCTTTTCTATGGTACTCCAAATGCCTCTGCAGTTCGATTGTGGAGCCGAAATGGTGTTCACTTCATCTTCCTCAACAGTATGACCTTCGAAGGAGATGATTGTAATCTATGTTTTGAGAGCGAATCCAGCCTTCTGGTGATTAAACGGCATTTCGATTGCCTTCAAGATGCATTAGCAAGTCAAAAAAGTCATTGCAACGATGTGTTTTCTGTTCCTCCCAAGCACACTTGGTCTAACCACCCAT